TCTGCACCAGTTGCGTTGAAGCTCACCAGAGGGGGACCTGGGGCTTGAATGTACAGTGCTCCGCCTTTGTCCTCACAATTGTTTCCTTCAAATTTTAATACAGACGTATTTTCGTGCAAAAGAATTCTTGACCGTCCGTACATTGCTATCGCCCCTCCCCTGACACCGGTGTTGTTAAGAAAATCTAGTCTGTCAAAAACTTCTACTATTGAACCATCTAAAACCAACGCAGACTGAGTATTGCTTACAAATTGTACGTTCCCTCGAAAGATAAGGGGAACCTGCTGGCTGTAAAATGTCCCTTGCCCAATTATTAGGTTATGGTGAAGGGGAACTACCTTATTAGAGCGAAATACAGTGTTCTCAAAACATACCCGATATGGGATTTCCGGTCCGATGAGGTCTTCATTTCGGTTCATTAGAAAAGCACTGACGGCAGCTCCCACGGTTCCAATGTTTCCGATCCAGTTGCTATCATTCTTAAAGAAAAACTGAGTTACAACGGGGTCCGTGTGCTTGGTGCGAATTGTTGCTCCATACAGCGACGCACCGCCTCCCAATGTTGCCTTGTTGTTTACAAATGAACAGTTTGTCATCTCGAATCGATTTATACGAGGTTGAACATGCTTCCCCGGCAAGCTTCCTAACCGAGCCCCACCACCTGCAAATGAGGCAAAGTTTTCTCGAAAGACCGTTGCTCTTACTTCAAGAGAATTATTCTCCGTTTTGTCCTTCATTTCAACTTGAAAACCTCCACCCCACGATGCTATGTTGTTCGCAAAAACGCATGACTGGATTTTAATGTGACACCCACTTGCATTCCCTTGGAAATATATGGCTAATCCACCTCCACGGTTAAAAGGAAGTTTTAGTGTGTTCATTCCGTTATCATCTTTGGTGTCGTTCAGCCACATAGCTCTGTTTCTCATAAAATGGCAATTTGAAAATTCGTAAATGTTATTGTGCTGATATGAATCGTGTTCACCAGGAGTCACGTTCCACGTATTGTGACTATATTGATTTAACATGAGATTAACACCGCCTCCGGAGTAAACATAGCTTCCATCTGGGCTGATAAAAATCCATCTGTCATAACTGCTTTCGTTTAAAGCGTAATTATCTGCAAACAAACTGTTTGTGAAGTTCACAACTCCCCCAACATCGTACAAATTAGCGCCAAGCCCTGGGGACGAACAAATTTCAACATTTGATATACGAAGGTTTCTGCAGTATCGAAAATCTAAGGCAGTCTTGAATTTTGCCCCCTTAAAATATGGGTATTGCTCATTCATCCCCGCAGAACTCTGATGCCAACCACCACACTTCCGAAACTTGACTCCCTCAAAGGAAATATTTTTGCTGAAGGTGAACGAGAGACTAACATTTGGCTCGCATGTAATTTGACAGCTGATTTGAACGTCATGATCGTAAGAAGTATTTCCAAAGAGACCAAAGGAAGTAATCTTCGTAAAATTGTGGCTTGTGTTCAGCGAGTAATTTCCTTTGCTCAGTAATATTCTTGCTGAGTTTAAACCACGAGCGAGCCCTAAAGCTCTGTCAAGAGTCTTGCATTTGAAGCTCGCGCTGCAATTTGAAGAATCATTTCCGCCTGGTGAAACGTAGATCTCTCTTTCACTAGCACATTTGAGGAACAATGAACACAACAGGACACTAGCAAAAATTGTGGATGGAAACATATTCTTTTGGATTGCATCTGGAGAGGTCAGAACTCGGTAAATGCGAAGACCGTCTTGTTCGATTCTCAGAATCCAATGTATTGCACTGGTGTTGACTTCCAAGAATTACGGGATATCGCAGTGTGTCACGGCCGTTTTAATAAGCTCGAGTTTCACCAAGTAGTTTTTCATGGCTCCGTCAACAAGATATCTTTAGTATACTTTGTGTTTTCTATTTTTAAATGACTGTAATGTGGAGTCGACTCCTGATAACTTGAACCTTCAAGGGAAATTGAAAAAAGTTAGAGTTATCGGGAGTTCGAAGAAAATAGCCGGAAGTAAAAAGAAAACGGTTTTTACCTTACAGTGAACATTTTAATCACATTTATTTGTAGAAATGTTAAGAAAAATTGAAAGATACTTCTCGGATTATAAGTAAAATAAAGAGGAAGTAAAGCTGCTCTCGTTAGATTTGTGACAAACAACATCATCAGCCTCTACCAGTAAGCTATATGCCTACAATACAGTTCAATGGGAAATTCAAAATTCAATGTTTCGGACGGCAGTAGATTGTTTTTCGCCGACTTTTAAATCATGGTTCGAGTTATCGGGGGTAAAATTGGTACATCGTGTTTCAACGAATTAGAGCCTTTTGCTCTGATTTCCCGAGCTTAAAAATAGGCTGGGCCGTTTTTTTTTTTCTTCTGGCACAAATAGTCCTCTGGCCCCCTCGGCGCTAGTCTGCTACACAGCCGTTTTTGGTGTTGTCACGCAACGCTCCTCCCCACTAGTGGGGAGGAGCGTTGCGTGACGACACTAAAAACGGCTGTGTAGCAGACTACCTCGGCGCGAGCCCAAGTTATAAGAGTATACTAAAATAGCTCAGCGACCTCAACCAAAGCACATGTCCACTTGTCTGAGGTGATCGCAAGAATGAATCCTGTCATTTCTCATACACGAAATCTTTATACCAAATGCACACGCTGTTCATCTTTCCACCTACAGTAAAAGATGGCGAGCGTACATTTGGAATGGTTCGGTACATTGACTGACTTTACATGACCAATTTACTAAAAAAGTCTTCAGAGTGGTCCTTATCGAGAAACACTCTGGAACTCGTTAGTGCGAGCTACCAACGGGATTTAAACAGAGTGTTTCTGATCAAGTCAACAGTCTTGAAGATATTAGGAATGCCCCCATGTTTAAGCTTAGTTGCTTTGCCGTCCTTTGCAGAAAGAAGAAACAGAAACCGAATTTTTTAACTGGGCTGCCCAGTCAAGGCACGCCCAGTTTATAAAATTTTTTTTTTTCTACGTAGAAAAATGAACACTTGCAATTACGGTATTAACCCAGAAGGCGTTGCGAGATCTATAGAGCATGTTTGTCCATCTTCGCAGAGTCTGTTTAAAGCCTTTAAAGATGATTTCTTTCTGTTTAATGTAACATACGCCATTTTGGAAGTCTAAAATTCGGATTAAGATAATCAGGATCGATATCAATCGATACCTTAAGTTTTTTCCATGACTTTGATTTCTACGATTTCCGATATCAATCGATAATAATCGACGAATGATGTCGATTGATTTCTGATATCGATTTCTATCGATTGACTACGCCTGGTTACCTGTCCGATTTGACATCACCTGTCCGATTAGAAACTCCTGGTGGTAATCGGATTTGTCAAATCGGACATTTTTGGAGTTGCAATAAATATGAGCTGTTAAGAACCAACTGATTCGACCACTTTGTTAATGACACAATTGACGAAATAAAATTTGTCCGTGACTCGGACGATCGTGAGTGGGAACGGGACTATTTTTTAAGAATAAAATCGGGAAAACAGGTTAACCAAAATCTCCAGCAAAGCACAGCAATACTGAGCCAATCAGGGACACCCAAAGAGAATATAGTTAAAAACCGCTTAAACATAGCATTGTTGAACGTATATTAGTATTTAAACGGTATATATAGGCATATTTTTATCCCCTAAAAAGTTCATCTGTTCGGATTTCGTAGCTGAAAGTCTAGTGATCCGAAAATTATAGGGATCAAAACTTACCTTTTCGAAAATTTCAGCCAGAAAAAAGGCTCCAGAAAATTCTAGGTGAAGGTTAACAGTAACTTCATCTCTATTCGTACCAGCGATCCCTGTTCTTTCGTTTTCTTTTCCCAGTTTTCCCCATGGCCAGAGGCAATGAGTAAATAACACAGACGGCGTGATTTTTATATATGAGCGCACAATAAAAGCTACTAAATTTCTTCTCTAGAGCGATTTCAACCGATGATCTGAATGAGAAATGCGATGAGATCGGAGGAACCTGATATGTAATGACGAACTTTGGACAGGGCACGCCAGGAAGATAATTAATGTTTAACATTGCAGTTGACTTTCGATAAACAAGCAGTAGTTCCAATTTTTAAGAGCTGCGCGGACAGTTTTAACTTGTCTCTGTGGCAGGTTTGGATTGTTAGGATAAAACATGATTTTCCGATTTAGGTCTAAAGTGGTATTGATCCCAGAAGTTTGCCCCTGACCCTTGATCCCATAGCTTTGATTCCTGAACCCGGGCTTCTGATCCCTGATCCCTGATCCCACCCCTGTGATCCTAGTCTCCCCCGCAGCCGTTTTTTGGATGTCATGCAACGCTTGATTTAAAATTGATTCATTCTTTTCATTTTAATTACTTATATTCTGTAGCTCTGTACCCTGTCATGTCACAGTGTGCAGATTCGACAAGTAGATTCATGGAAACTATAAAACTACTTATTGTGTGCCTTGTTTTTCAGAGGCCATCTTTACGTTCGCCTTGGTTTTATGGATTGTGGAAAACCTGGGCTACCTTGGCTTTGAAGAATAATCTTCCTATTCAGCGCTGTTACTGTAGTGACGCTAATGAAACCTTAGGACACGTGATATATTTGTTTAAGCGCTCTGCCTGCTGCTGACCATGTAAACTTTCAAACAAATTCAAAACGCTCCTGTGCAATAGGCACTTCTTAATCGCATTTTTGCTTTGTTTATCATAGCTGGTATTTTTAGTTTATTAAATCGTGGACATCTTTTGGAAATAAAGTAATCAATGCAGTTAAATCGTGGTCGGCTTTCGGAAGTAAAAGTCATCCGCAATTCAGTTAGAGAGAGCCTTACAAAAGTATTCCATACTGAAACCCAACCCTTTAAACTTTACAATTTGCACGGAGTTTTTCAGGACAAAAATATCAAAGATCTATCATTATATACCAAGTTTGCATGTTAGTCACACATATAGCTCAACAGCATTAGGTACGCATTAATTTCGACCAATATAAGGGAATTGGGATGCCGGAATTCAGGAAATTTTTGTCTGTGGAATCCGGAATCCTGGGCTTTGGAATCCGGAAAATTCGGAATTCAATTTCCACAGAGAAAGAATACAGAATCCAATACTTGGAATCCGGAATCCACGGCGTGGAATCAAGAATTCAAGACTGTACTGAATTTTCTTACAAGAGGCGGGTTATTGCCGTTATCTTAACAGCCTTGCATTTTGTTAAAAGTTATCATAAATAATGTATGAATGCACAGAAAATTTTATTATGTTGGACCCCTATTGTTAATAATGTCAGTCAAGTTCTATAATGCTGATTTTGTGTCGTTAGGGACTGTATAACAATTATATTATCAGGAGCGGGATTAGAAAAAAGGGAGCGGAACAGTGTGTAAAGTAGTACCGTAAACTTCTGATTATAAGCCCTGCGCTTATACAACTTTGTAAGGGGTTTGAGGAGATCTGATATTCGGGGGTGGAAGGGGGAGGGGGGCTGCTTATAACCGGACTTAAAACGGTGTTTCAAAACAAGCTACATAGCAGCCCGGGGGGGCACTTTAGGAATTTCTGGGTGGGGATGTGCCGCTGGGACCCTGGAACCCTTGACCTATACCAGAGCTAGTTCAGCTGAATTTTGCTACCCTATACTAGAGTAAACTCCCAAAATCCCCCTATCCTAGAGTAGCTGTTTCCCCAGTCTAGATAAAATTTTCAACCAACTGATCAGTTTCCTGAAAAATGATACTCTATTCTAGACCCAAACGCTCTGATTTATATACCCTATCCTAGGGTAAACGGCTTGAAAACCATACCCTTCACAGCGGCACATACCCATATAGCCCATATATGGCAGTACCCCCCCCCCCCCGGGCATAGCAGTGCTGATCAAAATACATTTTTAATTATGCTTGCTTTTTTTTTAAAGCTTCAAAACGTCGTAAAAAGTCGAATTCATTCCAATACAAGCTAGAGTAGGGCTTATATTCAGGGGGGAGGGGTGGCGGCTTATAACTGGATGTACTTTTTTGTTTACAGGTAGATGGGCCTTTTATTCGGGGAGGGGGGAAAGGGGGGCTTATAAAAAAATTGTCATATCTTCAAATATGGAAATGAAACCACTGCTTGTAAAGATGCTTTTAAAGTTACCAGGAGAAAAAAATATTCGGTGTGCGTATCAACTCCCTTATTTAGAAATGAATGTAAATAAGAATCTAAGATAAATCGATAAAATAAAGTTAACTACGTACTCTTATTCAGTAGGATGCTAAAAACATAAAACTTAAGTCAAAATTAAATTAATAGAAGGCCTTCTTAGTTTCCCAAATTTGTAAGGAATGGTTATTCAAAAGGTAAATATTTGTATTACCGTCCAGTTTGGAGTCAAGGTGTTCCACTCTTAAGAACGCGATTTCAATCATATCTCACGAAAGGATAAAATGCTATATCCTTCATGGTCCTTAGCTAATAACATTCACAAAAAATATTGTAAAGATATTTTAGGTTGCTGCCCATGGCTAGAGTGGCTAGCAACTAACTGCGGAAGGGCTGCATGCACCCTTTATAATCTCAATTGTGATACAGGTTTACAGCACTCCAGTTTGACTGAGTACTTTCCTCCATAAATCCACTTTTTTATCGATATTATATAGCCAAGTAAAAGAAAAAAAACACATTTTTCTCGTCCGCATTTCTATTAAAAGAGAGTGGGAGGGGGCTTTTTCTTTTGTTATTCCGACTTCTTCGGTCACATATTAATGAATGAAACGTCCGATATTGATTAAACACAAATTTGGTTTAATTTGATTTTAAGAAACTGAGTGACGCCTGATACGCAGGATTGTAGAATAATTTGTGTTGACAGTAACGCCTGTTGGTTTGGTTCTTTCCAACTTTTCTAATAACAAAATAATAATAAAAAAAGAGAGGCGGGCACCGGGACGAAAAACATTTGTTGTACTTTTTTTTAGTTGCCCTTGGCATGTTTACTCGTTATATAGTGAATATATTTAGCTAAATTAGTTTAGCAAACACAATTCCATTTCAAACACTCGGCAACAAGAACATCCATTTTTCAAACTTTTATCAACATGTCAGTTAGCTGTATGTTAATTTTCGGCCAGGGCAGATGAGACCTGTGTCATATGCACGAAAAAGATCATTCTTTATACTGAGTATAGATTCGAAGCTGTCACTCCATCTGCATGATGTTTTTCCGAAGTTTGATTTCCACTGTTCTCGTCGTAATTATGACAACTACAGGTAAGGAAGACTGCTAGGAATTATGCACTAAAAGTAGGCGTTGTTCTTTTTTTAGCGGTTCTCTTACTGGGGACTAGCTTTTACGTCAGTTGACGCTTAGTGTTTGACTTTATACGGCTTACAGTCAACCTTCCCGGCCGTTTTAAACTGAGTGGAATTGTAAAGCATCAGTGTTAGGTCTGAAATAGGTATGTTAGAACTATACCAAAATGAAAACAGCTAAAAAAAATAGCAACCGATCTCGAGAAAAACAAATTAATTGGCAAGATGATCAGTTGTCTCTTTTTAACTTTAAAATCCGTGGGCGAAACCCGGTGATGTTACCATTCAAATGAAACCTCTTCAGTGGGCAGAACATTTAATTTGGGTGGTGCTATTTGTTTCTTAGAATTATAAAACAAGTTTACTATTAGGGGAGTTATAGCACTCTTATCATCCTAAGCTTCGACTTAGCTGCTCTGATTTACACTCCGGAAGGTGAGCGAACAAACTGCTATGCTAGCAGTTTGAGTTAACTGGCCTCGACCTACAGTATCAGGAAATTATGGGGGCTGTCTATGTAAACTGTCAATGAAACCGACGCTTCAAACGAATTCATTTATTCGTCGTTAAGTCGCCTTGTCTAGTGGAACTGAGGCCATTAATGCGGCTTTCGGATAATTCTAAAGAATATATTTATTTAATAAGTAAAACGTTTGTGGGGGAAGGGCGTGAAGAACTGTAAAAAAACAATGGTCAACAGCGACCGAAATGCTAGGGCATTCGTCACAAAATTTTATCAAAAAAGCTTAAATATGCTTCATCATTCAAATTTTTGTCGTTTCGTAAATGTACGTTATGGCCCGTCATAGCCCACCTGCCTGGCGTTCGAAAGCAGCGCAAGATCTAGACCTTCTCCTTCCGAATTATTTTTCTCCCTTTTCCCATTCCTTTTGACCACTTACTCGCTTAAAGCCTTATACCCTATACAAATCTTTTTTCTGTTCTCGTTTCTTTGAATGTACGACTTTTTTTTTAACAGAAAAGTCTTCAGCTTGCACCATGTATCCTGCCCCCAGAAATGGAGCCCTCGGCTGTATAAACATTACTTTCAGCAGTCTTGGTGTGGTCCCTATTTGTTACGCGATGTGTAAAAGCGAGTTCGACTTTGTATCGAAAGCTGAGCGAATCTATGTTTGCTACCAAGGTCAATGGAAGACGAGGCTCTTGGAACCGGCGTTACCTTGGCCAGACTGCTCTGGTAAGCCTAAAGCGATAATAACTTAGTCCCCCT